TCTTGCTTGAAAGATGGTCAACATAGATTTATATTCCTTTTGGCATCTCTGTATTGAGTTTGAGTTTTCATCAAGCAATACTTGTCTGGGTTAATCTTCTTAGGCTACTCTATATACCCCCACCAAATAACCAATTAGAAAATAATGATTCAAAATGTATGTGCTTATAAGTTCCCATGTTTGTAGGTGACACGTGTAATGTTTTTGTACTCGTGTATTAATTATCCCATTTGGCTGCCTTTAGCTCATGATGTAAATGTGGTGCAATTCATTACTCCTAAAGAATTATATTAAATTGCTATTCATACAAATAAAAGTGTATAGTTTCTTTTGCAGAAGAGATCATAATTATAGTTGATGCAGAAATCTCTCCCCCCAGCCCCCCTTCCCGTCAAATGATGATCACCCTATTAGTGCAATGTACTCATCCATAGGCTACTGCAGATCCTTTCTGCCATAATTACATTTTCACCTCTTGCTATTACAAGAGGCTAACATTTGGGCCTCTTGTCACAATCGGTTTCATGTTTTCTTTTTTTCCCCTTGGCTGTAAGGACAGCGGGCGTTCTGTGGCTGTGCCGCTTCTCTGTGTGCCATAATGGGCTGTAATTACTGAGTTTGCAGCACAATGCATGGGTGTTTGTTTAAAGCTGAATAGCCTGCTCTGAATAGGCCCTCCTATTAAGTAAATAGAAGTTGCACAAAGCCATATTATCCGAGATATCCGAGGGATTGCATTCTCCACACGTGTCTTTGCAAATACAGATTTTTGTATCCATGCTGTCGGTAGGTTGTCATTTTGTACATGTTACCCTTTCTTTGTCTGCATAAGGTTTTTTTTTTTTCTGCAGACTATCAGGGAGAGGAAACAAAATTATTTTTAAATACAGGATTTTGCTGCCTGCCAATCTGTCCTGGGATGGCTGCACTACTTTTAAAAAGTGTAACAGGCTATGTATCCCAACCTGTGTACGTGAACCTCCATTTCGAGAATTGCTTGAGGCAAATGTTCCAGGATTGAGCTTTGTAGGTCTGCTCTTGGAGGCTGTAATGAGTGTTTGAAGCACTTGCCATCATATTTAGAGATTTGTGTGATTGAATACTGATCGTTCCTACTTTTGTGATGGAGGGAATAAAAAAAAATCACTGTGAATGTTGTACTAATACAGTCATGTGAAAAAGTAAGTGCACCCAATGGAAATGGTGGACTTTTTCAACATATTTGGACCGGCAAATATTAGATCTTTATTCAACGGTGCCTTTAAGTAAAGGTGATATCCTTGAACAAATGTTACATAAATGTAGCATAGTGTATTTATTCATATAATCTTATTTAAGAAAAATGCAGATTTGTCACATGAAAACGTAAGTATACCCCTAAATTTCCCATCACTTGAAATCCATAAAATTAGAGTCTGGTGTTCCACATTAGGTGCCAAAGGAGGTTGAACATGCCTTTTTAATCCTCATATGTAGGTTCTGGTGTTCTCTTTGCTATTATGCGTATGGGGTCATTATTCCAAGATCTAAAGAGCTCTCTAAGGTCCTCTAAAAAAAAAGGTTGTGGATGCCTATGTTTATAGTAAGGGATTTAAAAAGATCAATAGATTCTTTGAAATCAATCATTCCACTGTAAGGAAAATAATCTACAAGTAGCGTAGACTTAAAGTGACTGCTGATTTGTACAGGACTGGCTGGCTTAGCATATTCAACCCGAGAGTTGACCCTTTGATGCTGAAAAAAGTCTCAAAGATCCCAAAATGTAACTGAGGGATGTACAGGTTGCACCATTTAAACCTGCTTAGGATGTATGCCAGGAAAAAGACTTTGCTGTCCAAAAAGAACATAAGTCCAAGGGTATCTATGATAATGTTTCAAAGCATACTGGCTAATTCACCAAAAAATTTGTGAAAAAAGGAGAAATGAAGGGTTAGAGTGGCCGAGGCAAAGACCAGATTTGAAGCCTATTCTAAATGTTGGGGGGGTGGGGATTCCAGATGGGCAGTTCATGCAAGGAGACCCTTGCACTCTTCTACAGCTGCACTTTGGCTCTGCTGTATACTAGAGATGCACCGAAATGGAAATTTTAAAACCGAAACGAAACAGAAATAAAAAAAAGTCAGACCGATACCGAAAATGTTTTTTATTTTTATTTTTTCAATTTTTTTAAATATTTTATTTTTTATAAACTTTTTCATTTTTTAATATTTATTTTTATTTATTTAATTTTTTATTAAATATTTTTATTTTCTTACTTTACTTTTAGGGGCTAAACAGGCCCCTAATATTTCCCTTTTAAAATAGAAAAAGAGATTGAGAACAAAGAGTCCTCAATCTCTTTTTCTGTGTCCCCTGTTATCAATGAACAGGAATCCTCTATACTGAGTGTTCCTGCTCATTGATAACATGAGAACATTGTTTGTTTACTATAACTACAATTATGAATGAATGGGGGTGATGTAGATCACTGCCATTCATTCATAATTGAGGATATACTTAACATACCATATCCTCAATTATGTGCACACACTCAGCGATCACTGATCGCTGAGTGTGTGTACCTTGCTTTTCTCTCTGACACGCTGTCACAGGATGTTGATCGAGCGGTGTAGAGAGGAGAGCCCAGCCTCCTGTGACAGCGCTGTCTCCGCCCCCACACCGCTCTGCCGGACTGTGAAAGGCGGCCGAGCAGTGTGGGAGGAGAGACGCCGGCCGCTCACAGCGCTCTCGTCCTGCAGCGCTCGGCCGGCTGTCACTTTCTTTCCTCCCCGCTGGGACATAGAGCAGCGCCCAGCGGGGAGAAAAGAAACCAGGGATGCGCCGATGTATCGCCAGGAAAACGGCACTTTCGGCATTATGCCAAAAGTGCCATTTTCGGCCGATATATTGGTGCATCCCTACTGTATACACATGTGCTGACAGGAAACATTCTGATAAGAGCAGAGCAGAGTTGATGACTTATCAGTGTGTTTCTGATCCTTCGATTTCCAGTCAGCAAGCTATGTGTAGAAAGGTCACGCCACCATATTTCTTAACTAAAGTGGTTTCCCCCTCCTGGCTGGCCTGTCTGGCTGAGATATATGAATCCCAAAACTGGCTGGGCATATATGTTCACATATTTATGTTTAACTCCATACTTAGCTGTGTGTTGTTTAGTTTAAATTATTTCCGTTAGCTGTCAAACACAATGTAAGTTTTTTTTTTTTTTTTTTTTTAATGAATCTGAGGAGATTGGTGGGGACTGCTGGATCAGGATTTTGGTAGATATTTACATCTGTCGATATTTTAAGTTTAGAGGCTTCTATCTAAGATCTGATGGGTACAAAGAGATGGTTCCCCAAATGACAGTAATAAGTTTGGTAGACTCAAAAGAACCCCAGGCATGGTTGACATTCTAGTTTAATTTCTATTTTTCATAAGAGTAAAAATGATAGCCAATTGGTTTTTGTTTTTTGGGGGGGGCTTTACTGATCCATCTTCATCAAGGCTTGTGAAGGTGAGGGTTTGCAGAAAGATGGACTGAGAACAGGTATCCTGGAATAGATTTCTCTAGCTTAGAGTAAGGGACTTTTCTGGTGGCTGGTGTAGCAGAATGAATCTGAGGAGAAAGCAAGTGTCTGTTTTCAGGACTGATCTCTATACATCACACAATCCTTGCACTTACAATACATTTGCAGAGCTCTCTGAATGCCAGTCCTAGAAACCAGTCTTTTTGTGGGCATTCTATCCATGTAGCGTCCTGCCAGGCTTGCCTTTAGAAATTGAGAAACACATGCTCTTTTGTAATTGTCTGTTCTTGTGTCATTTTTACAGTCGCTCAGTCTAATAGCCATTCGTTTGCATAAAAGTCACATATACACCAGTTTTAATTAAAGTAGAAGAAAAGTAATTGCATGCATACGTCTATAGCTTTTCTAATATTGTCAATGCCTGAGGCCAGAGCTCCTAAATACAGATGAATTGTGAGCCTTCACCGAGTGTATTGTTTAATTATCAAATGCCAAGTTAGAGTGGTGTATTAGCGGAAAGGATGAGTTTGATATTCTGCCCTTAATTAGAAGATGATCAGATTTGCCTTCCCCTAGTGACCTGTAGTTAAACTCTGAGGCCCAAAGGGACCATTTCTCTTTGTTGTGTTAAGATGTGATATAGAGGCAGAGCATTTACCATTTAGCTAAAGCTCAGCTGTAACTGCATTGTTCTATGGCAGGTCATTTTCACTTTAGATCTAATCACGTAATGCTGAAATCAACACCATTGCTATTTTTTTGTTGTTTTATCAATCTGTCTATTGTAATAAATGGCAGAGAAAATGAATACAGGAAGGTACAATGTATGTATGTGTGATATTAGCTTTGTGACTTTCCTATCAATGCATATCCAGTGATTGCTCATGTGGTTTAATATTGCTCATCATCGGTCAAAAAACATATTGCCCCGACCATGTCTATTTTTCAGGTCTGTCCCTCTATAAACTGAGTCAAGCATGCCAGGATTGCCTATTGACACCCACCCCTAGAAATACATCTCCCAAGAGCCCTTTCCCTACACACATTGTATCAGCAGGCTCTTGGGAGCAAAGGCAGCAGAAAATAAGTATCGTTATCCTGGTGGATTAGCCTTGTGAACTGAGTCTTTTATCTTATAGCAACTTGTGATTTTACTTTTTGTCATGTTCTTTCCCTCGTAATGACCATTTTGGATCAGCATAGATTTACATTAATTTCTAATCCACTTTTTAATAAATGACTTAGTAGTTTATTAGCCTGTTATTCTCAACCATACACATTGGTGAATCATTGAATGGTTTTATTACCACTGGCAGGGGCCTTTTCATTTTGTAGTATTTTAATTATATATTCTGTTTTTATAAAGTAAAATTGTACCACTTTCATATTTCTAGTAATTCCTCGTTACACCATTTGTTACGGGATTGGATGTTTATGGGGGGTTTTCTACACAGGATAACATTTTTCTTTATTTTTTTCTGTTTTTTCTAGTGAAAATACCCAAGCAGCAAGGCTTGATCCCAGTAGCAGCACGAACGGTTATTACGCACCTGGTGAACCACTTAGGACATTATCCTATGAGTGGAGACCCCTCTATGCTCACTAGTCAGATCTGTGAGAATCAAGACAATTCTTACAGTGACAGTTCTGACCTTTCCCCACAGCTCTTCCACAGCCCCAACCTCCAGTTCTTTTCTTTGAACAGCACCACGCTTGTGTCCTGCTTACAAATTCCAGCAGAAGAGAAGCTACCTCCTGGCGAGGACCTGTCTTCTGCCTGCTCAATAGTGCGTGTTATCATGAGGGACCTTTCAGGTAAATACAGTTGGGAATCTTCCATCCTTTATGGACCTGCACTAGAATGCTCTGGACAAAAGTCTCAGTGGTCTTCCCTACCTACATTTCCTGCATCTTCTGTTAACCTAGAGGAGGAACATCCAGCTGGCCCACGGGAAGCTGAGGAGTTTCCCCCATTCCAGTCAAGGAGGAGAGGCAGGGAATCTCTGCCTTTATGGGACAGCTTGTCAGATGAGGAAGATGCCCTTGACTGTCTTTTGCAGTACCTGGGAGCTACGGGCCCCGAGTGCCTTCAAAGAGCAGGAGTCCCTCTGAATGTTCCTTCACCCCCACCTGCCTGTTTCTCTGAGAAACTGGAGAATGAGGTCAGTAATGCCATTTTAAAACAGAGTGCAGAAGAGAAAGAATTTGTGGAGAAGCATTGCCGCAATCTGCACATGAGGGCAATGTCACTGGAGGAGCCAGCCAACCAAAAACCTGAGTCGGCCTTCTACTACTCGCGATTGTTGCTCAGTATCCTGGGCATGAACTCCTGGGAGAAGAGGTAAAACTTCTCCCGGTTTTTCAGTTTAATTTTGCTGTCTGCTGTACTATAGCGTGTACATTGTTGTTTACATTTTGTAAGTTCCTGGTCTTCAACTATAATTACATTCCTTTCCTTTCGTTTATTTTTTTTGTTTTTGCTTTAGAGGAATCTGTACTGAGACACAACTAAGGAAATTAACCCTACAGTATGGTAGCAAACACCGTAGGGTTGTATGTTCTTACTTTTCCATTGTTTCCAGACTGCCTGATCTGCATACAGAGGCTTGTAAAAGACTTGGTATTAGTGGGTATGAGGGAAGGAAAGGAGCCAGTGGGCAAATGCAGCTAACAGTTTGAGACGCTTCCAAGATCATTTAGAATTTGACAAGCGCTGATGGCTTCCTTCAGACCTGCTTATAACTGACTTTGTAAACCCATAGGCTTGCTGTCTTTACTTCTTGTACTAGTGACGCGTGCACACCCCATTTGTTGTACGGGCATTTTTAGGACATTAAGTGAGAAAATATTTTCCCAATGGGTTCACAGACAGAATTAAATAACAGAAATGTTGCCCCTTCCACACTCTATCCAAAACAAAAAAAATGGCCTGGAGTTAGTCTTCAAAGCTACAACGAAAAGCCAGATTCATGGGTTTCTGTACGTGATTAGACTTCTGTAAGTTCCCTATGCATTCCTGTTGTTTATAATGACAGTCACAGTCAAGATCACAAGTAAAAAGTCTATATTCAGAATTTCACACCCTTAAAGGATATGTGTTCCCTAAAAAATTGTTTCAATGCAGTTTAAGATTTATATTTTGATGTCTGCTTCCAACAAACCTCCATTATTCTGTCCTTTGTCAGTCAGCGTGATGCAGTCAAGAGGCTGAATCATGTGCAGTCTTTTTATGTAATATTTGCTTTATCTACTTGGAACAAAATAGTAGTACCTAATTATTATCTACGCAGAGTTTAGAAAATGTTTTTTATCTGATTAATTGATTGAAATAAAAGTATATACAAAATAATCAGCCAACTATGAAAACAATTGTTAGTTGCAGCCTTAGTTTAATTAAAGAGATTTTTATTTATACACATTTTAAATGTCTGTATAAAATTGATGGTTATGTGAATGTGTTTAACACACTCTGGTATTATATGTCTATACCTAATTCAAATTTTTAGGAGGAATTTTCACCTTCTTAAGAAAAATGAGAAGTTACTGAGGGAGCTGAGAAACCTTGATTCCAGGCAATGGTAAGAATAGTGCAGTCAGCTGATTGTTTTCTGAATACATTGGTTTGATGTGAATGGTAAGAAGTAAGGTGGTTGTGTTGAAAATCACCTTGTTTTCTGAATACATTGGTTTGATGTGAATGGTAAGAAGTAAGGTGGTTGTGTTAAAAATCACCTGTCCGGATAGGAATATGGGAGTTGCTAAAGCTGACTTTTTATTAATGGTGCAGGCTCCAGGGCTCTTATGCATTTGCATGACCTAGAATTAGCACGTGCAAAATATCTAAAATCTCTACTTGATGCATGCCGGAACATGCTTGATGCTTCACTGGCTGCATTCTGGGGTCAATGGCTTGCTAAGTTACAAAGAAATGGAGCCCTTATTGACTTCTTTCACTCAATCCTTTCCCTCCCTCAAACCTGCTACTTAGCGGAATCTGTGCTTAAAAGTTCTTGCATATTTTCTATTCCTGAGAGCTCTGGGAAGGAGTAAATCAGACAACAGTTTGAATAGGGCATAAGCAGTACAGGTTCACAAAAATGAGTAATGTGTCCACTTCATCCTTTGTTTTACATTCCCCTCAAAATGGCGGAATTTGTCCCACGAGATTAATATTGAATATTACATATTATGGTTTGACATGTGGAATTATGCAAAGTTACATTGTAAAAAGTTCATCAAGGCCTAGTTAGCCATACATCTGTGTAAAATAGATTCAAGAACAACTGCATAGAATAAAAATTAACCCTTGCAGTCTGGCTACCCTCGCAATCCCAAGCGTTAACTGCTCCTCTTTGTCTAGGGTCTGCAATAAAAAAGATATACTCACCTGATCCTTGGTCCCACTTGGCTGCTAGACCAGTCCCCAAAGCCTCTTTTCCCCTAGGCTCTGGTGGTCTAATGACCTGTAAGTTATCACATCTAATACAGTGTATTAGAACTGAGGACACAGAGGACCTTCCCTTGCCAGAGAGTAGGGGGAGAGACGTGAGCTGTCTCTAAATCAGGATCGAGGCTCAGGTTAGTATATCTTCTTATTCGGTCCCCTAGAGAAACACACCCAGTTAACCCTTGCCCCACTGCAAGGATTAATTTCTATGCTGCCCAGAGTAGAGTTCTTCTTTAAAGTACAACTAGAGACTCTTATGTGACAGTCTAAACAAGTACCAAATCCTGAAACTATGTGATTCACAAGCTTTTTTATGCTGATTTACAAACTACAGGCTACAAGGTACATTGAAAGCAATGTCCCCTGCAACATTTTTCCATCTCACCATAGCACAAGCAGGCACTGCCTGCATGAGTGGAATTCAGGAGCAGTGCAGCATTGTTGCCACCCCATCAGTGGGAGGTCATACTTCTACTTTAATTAAGAACAAATGTAGTTGACAGTGCCGCCCTTTATAGAAAACCTGTTTATGGACAACACACCTGGACCTCAGGTGCAAATATGTGTCGGTAGCGGCCCCGCCAGGCAGACAAGTGACACACAGAGGCGCCTCTCTATCCCGCACAGCCGCTCATACATGCAGAGCGGCGGAGGATGGAGCGGCGCTATCTGGAGGGGGGGCATGAGGAAGCTTTCGGGCCCCCCCCGAAACAGGCGGAACGCCAGAGCCCGGTCGCAATTGCGACCGTTGCGACCCTGGTAGTCCCGCCAGTGGTCTGTACAGGCATTTACTTAATCTGGCCATACACTTGTAGATTTCCGAATGACTATTTGGAGGAAAGATCCTTCTTTACCACCAAATAATGCCATCGGACACTTTCGTTTGATTTTAACATTCGATTTCGGAATGAATGGAGTTCCCCAAACGAAAACTACGTTCACTGTTAGATTTTAATTTATTCGAGAAAAAATTTCCATCCTACTCATTCAAGTTTTTTTGTCACTATGGCCGAAATAGATTGTCAGTTTGACCCCATCAACTAATAGAAAGTCAAATGAATGTTCTTTCATACAAAAGTTATTTCGAAAATCTCAGCAGTGTATGGCCAGCTTATTTATGTGTTAACTCCTTGCTCCCCATTTTCATCTGACTGGTCAGTTTGCTTTTTTAATGACACAGCTGGCAAAACTGAGTTAATATCATGCTATCAACTGCTTAAAAAAAATCTGTGTGTAGTCTTTTGGTTTGCTCAGATGAATTGTTCATATAATGTATGAAGAATGTAAGATTCCTATTTTTTCTCTTTTCTCCTCTCTCAGCCGTGAAACACACAAAATAGCAGTTTTCTATATTGCTGATGGCCAAGAAGACAAACAGTCCATACTCTCTAACACTGGAGGCAGCCAGGAGTATGAGGACTTTGTTGCAGGGCTTGGATGGGAGGTAATAATCTGTTCATATCTTTCCATAAAAGAACACTGCCACGCGATTTAACTTGCGGTTTTTGTTGTTTTTATTGGTTGATGGCGATTTGGTTTGGGTCTATCTATACTTTTTGGATTTTATTTTTTCCATATTATATTTATTGATAAAAATGTTTCTTTATCTTTCATTGAGGGACAACAGGATATAGTAATTCTTACATATTTGGGTTATACTGCTCCCTGAACGTGGTTTGGACACTGGTAAACGAAAAACTTAAAGCCTTCTTCCAACTGCCATGCCTCATTTTTTTGCTAGTGTCCTAGAAGGTTTGACGCCTTTTCTTCAGCTCTGCCGAAATAAAGTCTAACTATATTATGCTAGCTTTTTTTATTAGTAATTTTTTTCTTCAATTAATATACTCTATACACCGCAGATATATATATTTCTAATTGTGTCTTAGTCTCTACATAGTAGTTATCTTGATTGGCATATCCTCAGCATTAGCTTTGGAGGCCACACCCAGACCTGGAACATTTCAGAGCTAGCCTGAAATGTGACCCCTGGGCACTTCATTGTGGCACTTTCCAGATATTTGTGTACTATGTTAGCTGCAGAGTGCTCTCCAGGTCCAGAGCTGTGGCACAGCCTCTGTTGTGATCCAGTCTCTGTCTCTGAGGATTCACATTGTTAGTAGTGCAGGTCAGTACTGCTGAGCGCAATTTTAAAACATTTCTTTTAAGTTTTTGCATATATCTACTGCTTGCTAGCGGTAGATATATGCAAAAAAAACCTGAGGAATATACAATAAATGTATACAATATATATAGTAGTATTACAGAGTTCACACAGTAGGTGTGTTAGCACTTTGTTTAATCCATAGGAAAGCCCATATGAGCCCAATGTAGCCTGTGTTTGAAGTAATTTTTTTATTAAGTTCTCCTTTTCTTGGGCCCAGTTTTTTATCTTGTAACACCCAGAATTTCAGACATTCAAGATTTTTTTCCACATGCAGTAGAGAACAGAGACATCTTGCTTCAGGACAAGAACCTTCAATGCAGCTTGTTTTGTGTCATAATTTTGTCTTCTATATTGACCTGTCAGTATATACTTGTCTTGCAGCTTTCTGTAGCTGTTGCCACAAATATACCCTACTGAGTTACTGTGTTACTAAGTGCATTTCTTCTGCAGGTGAATTTGGCTAACCACTGTGGCTTCCTAGGAGGACTTCAGAGGAACAAAAGCACTGGTCTGAGCACACCATATTATGCCACCTCTATTGTTGAAGTTATGTTTCATGTCTCTACCAGGATGCTTTCTGATTCAGATGACTGCTTAACAAAAAAGGTGAGGAGCTTGCTGTGCTTGTTTGTGTAGGACACATAGTAGTGTGACAATCAGTCAAATGTTTTTTTTCCCCCCACGTATTGTGTTCTACAAAAACAGTCAATATAACAAGTCATTAAAGTGAGGCTGCTATAAACTTGGGGTGACTCAAACTACGTAAATTATTATGCTTCATAGTGTTATAGATGATGGATATCCATACAGGGAGAAACAGTCATCATTGTTTCTCTTTATTTTAATTTATGTGCAAGCATGATCCTAAGTGCCCTAGGGCATCTATACTAGCTGCTGGGACCCTATACACAAACCATCACATCATGCAACTGTTTTCATTTTAGCCAGAGCTGGCTTATCAGAAAGAAATAGCAGCTGCCCAGAGCTTTTCAACCTGTCCAGCCTCTTCTCCTCCAGACAAGGCTCTGCTGGTAGTGTCTGCCAGTGTTCCATAGACATTAAATTTACTCACCTAATATATTGTCTACAGGCATCTTTAGTAGCAATATGGGTAATGGTGAGCTCAGTACCTAAATGGCTGTGCGTCTTTATTGAGTAGAGCTTTAATAATATACTTTATACATTTTCTAGTTGCCATAGTACCCTGAACCCACCCCCTTCCGAGAGACCCTTTTCCCTTCTTTTGTCTCATTCCCTTCCTTTCCCACCAACACACATACACAGCATTCATGGGGGGCAAGTGTAGGAACAGGTGATGATGTCACCAAAAGATAGTAAATCAGGTTATATGGGTAACATATTATTTTTATGTGACTCGTATTATCTGTGCTTGTTCTACTATACCCGATTTCAATTATTTAGGTACTATGATTATCGGTCAGGATGGGATGTGAAAAATTTGTAGAGATTTACCCCGTTTTCTTTGAATACAAAATAACAATTTATATATACTTGTGTGTACCTGCCTTGTACACACAGTACAATTCTTAGTATGTGCTGTATGTTTAATGTGATAATTTCTAGTAAGTGACATATCAGCTAGGAGATACGTCAGTGCTATGTGCCACTTGCAAGTATATAATATGAACAGATCTATCTCCATAAGTATTTGTTTTTGATGAGTGTAATAAATTCCACATCACTGCTAACGAGTCTGAGCCTGTGATCTGTGCCCTTGTTAGGGCTGCACTCTCTGAGCCATGCCCCCCCCACCTAGCTCCATCACTCATGCATTTTCCAAAGTGTTAATCCAGTCAGTGGGAGCAATAATGAGAGCAGGCTGGAGAGCAGGGGATGCAGGAAGAGGGAGCTGCTTGACCTCAGCATGAAGTTTAATGCCTCTAATTAAATTACAACGATGGAGTGTGGGGATCTGGCCATGCCTCAAGCTCTTCTGGTGTGTTATGGATCCTCCTGTGTCTTCCAAATACAAATCCTTTTCATCATTATTAGCGCAAAGAGAAATATGAGAGCAACAAAAAGCCATCTGTTAGATCAAATTTCTTATCTTTAAAGAAGACCTTTAGTGCAGATGTGTTATTACATAGACTTCTGTATTGAAGAAAAAAACAGAACTCTTATACAATAAAGGATGTATTTCATGGGCTTGAGTTTAAAGAAGAGCTCTGACTAGATGTAAATGGTTTTCATACTCATTCCCAGAGTTTAGTAAGCTATTAAAAAATTATTTTCTATAATTTAAGTAGACTCAAAAAATGTAAGATTTTCTGTCTTATATGGAATATGTAGAGAGGGTCATTTTACATAAACAGTACCCTGAAAAATGTACCCTTTGATTTCCTTTCAAACAATATCAGTGCGCTTCATGACATTGGACCGTGCCTAGGTTCTGTAGACTAAGGGCTTGTTCACACCTAATCCAGTGCATTACAGCATGGTTAGTGGCTAGAACGCACTGGATCGCATAATGAAAGTCTCCTGCGGGAAGGGGCTTGGTGTTACAAGTCGATGGCACCGCAGCCACGCCTCCCACCTGCATGCACAATTGTTTGTGATCGCACCAGACTGTAGGCAATGCTGTGCTGCGTGTTCTGTCACCGCAGAGCAGGACATGTGGCTGCGGTGACATTGACTTGAAAGCGCCACCATGCACCCTCCTGCCCCAAAACACAGAGGGGCTTGCTCTATGCAATCCAGTGCGTTCCAGCCACTAACCGTTCTGGAACACTGGATTAGGTGTGAACAAGCCCTAATAGCTATATATCTGCAGTATGAGACAGTCTAAGACACTGTTGCCTCTAACAGCTAACCACAAGATTAGGAGATTTAGAGTGGGATTTGGTAATGTCACTACAGTGATGCTCACTCATCATCTGATGGCTTCATGGAGAGGAAGCTGTACTTGGGGATCTGCAAGGGTGTCCCTGTTTCTACTTCATTTATTCTGTGAATCTGTGCTTCCTCCACCTTTCTGTCTTCTTTTTATAAATTAAAATATTACTCCACAAGTTGTTAGTTCACCAGTGTTGTTTCTATGAATAGATGTTGGTAATATGTCAGCAATATCTATATTACACTTACCTCTGTGGATTTCTTCATGCAATATGCTGATTGAAAAGCTCTTTCCCTATGCTATACACCCTCTTCCCAGAATCCTCCTAGTTCTTGCTATCTTCTTGGGAGATCTCCATAGATTATTGGAGGACAGACTACTTCATTATAAATATTGCACAGGACCCAGAAACACGCCTAGCAGTGGGTGTAAAACATGGGTAATGTGGCTCTCCAATCAGTGTATTTTTGAAGGTTGGTAAATGCAAAAGAACACTTGTCTCCCCAGACTCTGGAAGATTTCACCTACTTCTCCAAACTCTAAAAGATTTCTCCCACCTCCCCCCAACTTCTGTTCAATTACTCCTCCC